GACCCCTTATATTGAACTGAACAGCCAGTTTTGTTAAAATTAAGTCATGTGGCAACTTATCAAAGGCCTTAGACATATCAAGAAATCATACACGCATAGCTTCTAGGGCCTAGCCTAGTAGTAGTTCTGTTTGTGTGGTAGTGTTGGTATGTCAAAGATTCTACAACATTAAAACAATGTTTATTTGATTGAAGTCTTGCTGGCCAAGTTAATTTTCTGATTTTTTTAAATATTCGATTATTCCTGAAATGGGGTACATTATAGTATATGTGCAAACAATGTGACCTTTTGACATTAAATAGAACAAAAACTAAAATCAAAAGTTAGAGGACGTACAGCTCGATCAGACGCGTTTGTGAAAGCTCCGAAGTATTGTGCATTAAAATCTTTTTTTTTTTTCTCATCACATTACTACGCATTGTATTTTTCCCTAACCTGTTATTTAGTAGAATTAAACTTTAAAGTGTTTGGGAATTACAGTATTTGTCAATAGTTACAGTAGGATTGTACAGATTTTTGACTATTTACTTAGGTTAAGCATACCCTATCTACCTTGGCTACTGAATGCATGTCCAGGGAACAATGAAATTACTGTAATTTCACTGTTCCCTGGTATGTCAAATGATAGTGAAACCCCCACTGTAATAGGTCAAGGCGCTAAGCCTAAATGCGGGGCAAATAAACCACCCAAGACGGATGTGAGTGTTAAAGGTGCGGTATAGCTATAGTTTCAGATGATAAGGATTTATGTGGGACGTGCCAACCTAAGGTGTTGTTTGAGGAAAAGGCAGTTTTGTGTGGGATGTGTGAGCAATGGTTTCACAGTGATTGTCAGAAAATTGGAAAAGTTAAATATAACTAAATTATGAAAAATGATCCCACTATTAACTGGTATACTGTCAAACTTGCGTAACTAATGCTACTACTATTTTGTCTCTTCTCAGTGACATTTTGAAGAGTCAAAGTAGAATTATGAATGACATTGTCACTGTGAAGAAGGATGTTGAAAGAAATTATTTAAGTCAACAGTATATATAATGCATTCTTTCTACAAGGTAGTATTGAGTGGGTTAATTTTAACTAAAGTATTGCTAACTTGATTTTAACAGATGACATGATTGAAATATGTTATTGTGATTGGTTCATATATACCTTCTACTAATGACATTGAAATATGATTTGTGATTGGTTCATATATACCTTCTACTAATGACATCTTTGAAATATGATTTGTGATTGGTTCTCTTTTACTGTATTCAGGTTCAAAGAGAAGCACATGAGTGGTTAGCTGAATGCAAACAAGAGTTAGAAACCCTCAAACAAGAAAAAGAAAAAGGAGGAAGTCTTAGCAAGAATGCAAATAAGGCGGAAGATATAACAATAGCTCGTGATGTAGCAGACAACAAGAATATTCAAGGTAATACAGCAGATGATAAGAAAGTTACTGATGGTTCAGCAGACGACAAAAAACAAACTGAAAATGATGTAGCAGACGACAAGCATATTCAGGCTGATACAGCAGACAATAAGAAAGCTACTGATGGTTCAGCAGATGACAAAAAACAAACTAAAAATGAAGTAGCAGACGATAAGACAAATATGAAAGATGATACAGCAAAGGACAAGCTAGACATTGATGTTCTAGCAGACGACAGAAAAGATGCTCCATGTAAAGAAGCAGATAATAAAGATCACAAGAATCAAGATGTGAGCGAAGAAAAATCAAAACCAATGCATTACCACGTTCCAAAGGTTAGTTGAATTAGACATACATTAATATAACAAGACAACGCAATTCTGTCAACCTGTGCGCAACAGATCATTTTTAATGAAGATCCATTCTCAGACTGCCATCAACAGTCAGCGGACAGCATTGAGTCGTCTGACTCTGACAGGAAGCAGACTCGTCAGCCGACTATCATACAACACACTGGGTGCCTGGCCTGCTATTATTCTTCTTCCTCGGAGCCAACGGCCAACCATGCCTTAGTTTAAGGAGTAGGTTTTTTTAGTTTCATAAAATAACTTTAACTTTCTTTTTTCTCAAAATGTCAAACTCAAAGAGCTCAATCACCAAGCGCATAGAGGCTTTTTCGCATGATGCGCTCTACAAATCCAACTATTATTATTATTATTATTCATCATCATTCATTTATAGTCATTGTAAACAGAATATTTACATAAAAATAGCATAGCAAGGGTTAGCTCTGAATAAAGAATATAAAAAGTATAACAATAAATAAATAAACAAATAACTTATAGAAGTATTTTATTTTAGATTAAATAAGGATGGTGTTAATTTGCATACTACTATACATGTTTCCAAATTAAATTAAATTTACACAAATGATTTGCGTAGTAATGCTGTGTACAGTAGGTAGTTGAAATTTGTACGGAATGCAGTTTCTTGTACGTTTTCTTCATACAGGAGATCCATGTGAAAACTATCCAGACGTTGGCAGAATTAACCTCCAGATGTATAGAACAGTTTCACAAAGCAGCAGAATTAATGCTGCTTCACCAAGCCAAGGAACACTTCAGAAACCCAATCCAAATTGCAGCTAGCCTATCTAAGTATGTTATTTTCAACACCATGTTTACACTATGAAATTATTTGTAAGATTAGTCTTTGAGTGTGTTTATATATACCAGCCAGCTGATTAAGTATAAAGTTCTTACAAAAGTACATGATTGAGTGAACAATTACTGACAAATATACCTCCGTCCATTTAAACTCCATAAAAATGTTGTATTTTGTTTAAGTGTAAACTGAGTCAAGGATTACAAATACACTGATTACAATCCAGTTGAAATTTAAACCTTTGTCCAGATTATCACATTTGTTTTGACAAAAAAATACTGTTGTATGCCCATATAAAGTTATGATGTGCCTATATATGGTCATGATGTGATGTCATCATGACCATATTTAGGCATATAAAATGTGATATTGTGAACTAATACGATATTTGCAATGGATAATAAAAGAAATCAGTTTTTACTGTGTACTGTGGGGTCAAAGATAAATTTGAACTTAAAATCAGTCAAAGTACAGGAAAATACCTCAACTAAAATAAAAAATAAAAAAGTTATAGCTCATTTAAAAGGAACAAATAAATTATATTACTACTATTGTATTATTACTTCATGTCTGGGCAGGACTAATGAATTTAACTCAAATTGTAACTGTAGTATTTACAGTAAATAAAATAAATCAGTTTTTACAGTGTACGTGTACACTGGGGTCAAAGTTAAGTTTGAACTTAAATATAAACCATTGTGTAACCATGATGTGCTTTCCTTGTCAAAGGTTAACGAGTGTACTATGCTGCGAGGTGAGTAGCCTTACGTCGTCATTCTGTGAGCAGCTCACGGTTGCTTAAGACGTCATGGGAGAGGAGGATGATGTGAACTCATTTATTACAAATTCCTACTTGGAGGTAAATACTTAAGCCAGGCTCTGGGGAAAACATTTTTTTATGTTTTTCTTTCTTTTCTTATCTAAGTATGTTCTTTTCAACACCATGTTTACACTATGAAATTATTT